GAAAATGGAAAGACATCCCTTGCTCATGGATAGGAAGAACAAACATTGTGAAAATGGCCATTCTCCCAAAACTGTTATACAGATTCAATGCAATCCCAATAGAAATACCATCAACATACCTTATAGATCTAGAGAAATCACTCCTAAATTTCATCTGGAACCAGAAGAGACCTAGAATCGCAAAGGCAATTCTAAGCAGCAAAGACAAAGCAGGAGGCATCACAATCCCTTGAAGTTATACTACAAAGCAACAGTAGTAAAATCAACATGGTATTGGAATCAAAACAGAGCTGAAGATCAGTGGAATAGATTAGAAGATACAACCACAACTACGAACACACTCAACCACCTTATTTTTGATAAAGGAGCCAAGCAGGTTCACTGGAAGAACGACAGTCTCTTTAATAAATGGTGCTGGAAAAACTGGCTCTCCATTTGCCGAAAACTAAAGCTAGACCCATGTCTATCACCATGTACTAAATTAAAATGTAAATGGGTCAAAGATCTGAATATTAAAACAGAAACACTAAATCTATTGGAAGACAAAATAGGTAGAAACCTTGGAGACATAGGAGTAGGTAAAGAATTCATGAACAGGACTCAAACCGCACGGGAAATACTTCCCAGAATCAATAACTGGGACCACTTCTTATTAAAAAGTTTCTGCATGTCAAAAGAAATCTCCAGCATAGTGAAAAGAAAACCCACAAACTGGGAAAAGATTTTAGTGAACTCTCTCTCAGACAAGGGCCTCTTGTCTAAAACATATAAAGAATTAAAGAAACTCAGACCTCCGAAATTCAAAGATCCAATCCAAAAATGGGCATCTGAGATGAATATGCAATTGTCAGATGAAGAAATGCAAATGGCAAATAAATACATGAAAAAATGCTCATCATCATTGGTCATTAGAGAAATGCAAATTAAAACCACACTGAGATACCATCTCACTCCTGAAAGAATGGCCAAGATCAAGAAAACCGACAACAAATGCTGGAGAGGCTGTGGGGAAAAAGGAACTCTCCTGCACTGCTGGTGGGAGTGTAGACTGGTACAGCCTTTGTGGAGATCTGTCTGGAGATTTCTCAAAAAGTTGGGACTGGAAATCCCATTTATTCCAGCTATTCCACTTCTAGGCATATTCCCAGAAGAACTGAAAGCATCATACCACAGTGATATATGTGCACCTATGTTTATAGCAGCACAATTTGTAATCGCCAGATCTTGGAAACAACCCAAGTGCCCATCAACTGAGGAATGGATAAAAAAGTTGTGGTATTTCTATACAATGGAGTATTATTCAGCTATAAAGAAGGATCACATTGAGATATTTATCAATAAATGGGCACAGCTTGAGACCATACTCATAAGTGAAATAAATCAATCTCGCATGTGTGAATACCGAATAGTTTCCCTAATGTAAGTAATGATTCAAATATATAAAAATATGTGGTAATCATGATTCCCCATTAGGTGGCCTTGAAGCCTTATAAAGTTTTCACTCATTAATTAGAAAGGCTTTATTCTGGGCTTCTTGATATGAAAATATTTGAAGCTAGAGTATATGAAGTTTTACCCAAATATTTCAAGGAAAAAGACACTATGGTAACTACTATTAAGTCAGGTTATAAGGTGGTGAAGTACTAGGTTATTGAAACAGTCATGCTGTGACCTCTATTGTTATATTGTTATGTCCTGTTTTATCTCAATCTCCCCCTTATTGTTTCAAAAAAAATTATTTAGTCATTTCTTATGTTTGTCTTAATTAAAGAAAAAATTCAAAAAAATTAGGATATATAAATAGTAACTCTTTTTGATTTCCTATTAACTTGTTTTGAAGTCCTGTAGTACTCCCACGATCTTGTTTTGACTGATTAGACTCTGTTCCATTCTATATGATAGTATCAAGTTTGAAGACATAGGCAACTACTTTGAAGACAATAAGATTCACTAAGATACCCATTCTGGTTTGACTATTGTCTTCTTTGGAAGTCCTGTAATGTTTACAATGCCTAAGTTTTATTGGTCTTGTTCTCTACTGTTTTGTCCAACTTTATAATATCTAATAAGATAGACAATTCTTTTTAAGGAAACAAGGGACAACGTTGATAACCATTGTTGATAAACTTGTACTCTGTTCTACACCATGTGCTACGTCTATCCTTGGTATTGACTGACAGCTTTGTTTTGCCATATTTGACTGTATTCTTCCCCCCCCCAAAAGAAAGTAAAAAGCACTAAGGAGTAATAAAATCCAAGACGTGTAAATATTGTTGTAAAAAAGAGAGGGAAAAAAAAAAAAAAAGAAAAGGAGCTCTAACGGATATAACAGCAAGTGTGTTTGGGGGTGTTAAATAGCTGACTTTATCAATGTTTTTGGAACATTGAACACAGCTGTTTGCAGTCTCCCTGTTTGAATGTCCACCTTGTGTTCTTTGATATTGTGATTTGAGGAACTATTTTCAAGAAAATAGTGTGTAATCTACTAGCAGGTAATTTCTTACTGTTATGGTTTTTTGTTTTGTTTTGTTTTGTTTTGTTTTGTAGTTCTGTATTGCGTGTACCCTTACGCCGCTTTGGTTTGTTTTGTGTTTTTCTCTTTTTCCTCTTAAATAAAAAAAAAAAAAAACAAAAAACAAAACAAAACAAAAAACTAAAACCAGAAATTTCATTTGATCCAGCTATTCCTCCTCTTGTGTTTACCTTCACAAAAGAGTTAAAGACATCTTAATACAGGAATATACACATGCCAATGTTTATGGCAGTATAACTCAAACCAGCTAAATCTTGGAGGTGGCCTATAAGCCCATTCATAGATGAATAGATAAAGAAACTGTCACATATACCCAAATGGAGTACTACTTAACCCCCCAAAATACATTTGAGTCACTTGTAGGAAAGGAAATGCACCTTGAGACCATAACACTCAGTGAAATTCATCAGACACAGAGGTTAAATATCACACACTTTCTTTTATATGAAAAACTCAAAAGTATAAATAATTTAAAGAGCAAAAAATGATAGGTGATAGAAAATAGGAAAGTACATCTTTTGCAGACGAGGAGGAGATCTGAGGATGAAGAAGTTTAAAGGATAATGATGCACTTTGTACATGTACTAGCTCCCTGAATAAATGTATTCATTATGCATCACAAACACGAATAACATTAGAAAATAAAATAAATTTAGTTATTCCTAATCAGTGCATTATTAAGATTCAATTAGAAGGTTCATTATAATTATTATGTCCCATCAAGATTCAATTTTACAAACAGACAATACCAAGAAACTTGAAAAGCTTTGTGTGATAGGCCCCAGGAAAAGACGCAAACAGAAGCATTCTGCCATCTGGTCACTCATCTAGATGACTCTTGGCTGATATTTAATGAGCAAATGTCCTAATAACCGTATGTTCCATAAATTAGACAACAATATATTAATTTAAGATTATTGCAGAAGCATATGTCTAAACTCAATACTAAACTTTCCCGTTTTCCTTTCCTATTAACAGTTTACCATATTTCTGATTATTATTTGCCAAATTTCTAACATAAATGAGAAATGGGGCTGCAATGACTTTTCTTCCATAGAATAAACAAGTGTGATACATTAAGGTCTTGGTTTGCTTTATTAGATGTTAAATACACCTGTACACGTGAAAATAAAGCAGGCAGATTAGGCGCCTTTGTCTATCCCTAGGGAAAACCTCAGGCCAGTTTGCAAGGCTGAACGGGAAAGTTTGGTGACTTAGCAGGAAAACCGAAGGATTTTAATTAGCGTCTTCTGCAACCCTCAGTGGCTTAAAGATAAAAGAGCCAGAATTTTCAGGGGTTGAAAATTTTCAGGAGTTTAATTCTTTTGCTTCTAAATTAGTGCTACCATTTAGCATTTGAAAATATTTAAATGTGCAAAACCATTAATTTTAAACTTTTTTCTTCTTAGGCACTCCACATGAATTTTTTTTTTAAACTGAAAATATATAAAAGTAAAGAAGAGTGCAGTGAACGACCTCCTTCTCCCAAGTCCCCACTGCTCAAGTTTGCCGTAGCCATTTAAAGGTGAACTTGTTTCAGTCATAAAACCACCAACTTTTCCCCTGTCCCCACCCTAGTTCTTCTTTCCTTTTGAACAATTTCTTCCCATTTTAAAGGAAAAGGATAAAGCAATTAAAAAACACACACAAAAAAAGCTTTGTAAACAGGGAGGAAAAGCTGGGCTGAGGGGAGGAGAGGGTATTGGGAAAAAAGAGGAATCAAAATATATTATGTACAGGTACAAAATCCCTATCTATGATGAATATGATCATTATGCAATTCTAAAATGTACTAAGAAACTTAAACAAAAAAAGATCACCAACTTGCCACTCATGCCAGACTATTTTGACTTAAAATCCAGATGTCACACCTTTTGTCTCTGAAATTTCAGTATGAACCCTAAAAGACACTGTGAAACACACTGTGACAATATTATTATGTCTAGAAGAAAAAAACAAAAAAACCAGGATTTGCAACTTTTTGAGACTATATTTGCCTACAGTTATTTGCTGAGACTGAAGCACATATAAATTTCATGTGTGGTAAACAGTTGCTATGTGTTTTAAATCACTTTATTGCCATTTCTTTTCCCTCCCATGAAGTATCCTGTTCACATGGAATATTTTATTGAAGAAATTAGGTTAAATCCTCTGTAGAATTCCCCTATCATTGTTAATTTATTGTTATACATTATTACAGATTGGTTATCAAAACAATATTGAAAGAAATGGGAGTATACTACAACCACGTGAGTGCACTAGAAGACCAAAGGCCCCATCACTAGCATTTGAAAGAAATCAGAACTTAAGAAACTAAAGAGAGAAAAGCCCCTAAAAAACTGCTCTATGATTTAAATACAGAAACAAGTGATCAGATTTTCTTCTTGTATCAAGTACAGTAAAATGATAATAATCAGTATATACTTTAAGCATTTACAACACAAATAGCAGATTTGATAGTACTCACCTGTGTTCATTTCTATTAATTGCTTTTTCTTTTGCTGGCGTTCAAATCTTTCTTTCTCCGCCAATTCTTTAGCTATTCTGGCACGCTTTTCTTTCTCCTCTGCTTCTCTTCTTTTGATGTTCTCCTTCACTGCTTGCTATTACAAATGAATTTTCAAAAATTATCATTGTTAACCAGTGATTCCACAAAGACATGGAAAATTATCAATCAGATATCTTTTAGAAAATGATTAGGTCTTACATTAACAACAGTCTGTTAAATATAGTATGTACACATAAATACACTGATACTTAAAACACCTGTGTTTAAGTGGAATTAACTAAAATGGTAAAGGCAGACAAATTGAAAAAGCACTTAATTTACAAATCAAATCTGCTTACCAACATATTCTTTAGGTAGAGCATATTGTAACTGTATTAGTCTCCCGTCCCCTCTCTGTTATGTCGGTTATCAAATATAAACAAAATTGTTGAAGAAATTATAGACAAAAGCTGAGATCATGTCTATATTCTGGTCAATAACATCATTTTTTTCATATAGAGCAAAGTATCGCAAAGATATGCATATTTGGTATTTTAAAGTTAATGTCTATCATTGGTGATCAAAACCAATAATAGCTGTTAATCAAGAGCTCAATAGATATGTAATTAGTTAATTTACTAATTCTAAATTTTATACAAATCAAGCAATGCCTCTGATGGGGAAGTAGTGAGAATTAACATGCGGGTAGATTTCTGCAGGTACATTATATTACAACTGAGGAGTTGTATTTTAAGTGCCAATAAAACCAGACCAGTTACCACATTACTTTATCACCAATAGTATTAAAAATGTGCAGTTAACATGTAACTAAGTAAGACGCTGGTAATTTTGTGGGGGAAACATTCATTTCTTCTTTACTGTAGTATTCTCTTTTTAATTCCAAAGGTAGTCCACATTCCTCATTGGAAATCACATAATAAAATGTAACAGTATTGGTCAAAACAATAAAAGTATAAGGAGAAAAGAAGGAAGATAAAGCATAGAGGAGATAGAATATTAATCTTTGCATCTATCCATTATGTAGCTACTGAGAGAAAATATAGTAGTGTTAAAGAGAGACAGACTGACAGACAGATGTGGGATGCATCAGGAGGGAGACAAACAATACAGCAACTTTGATATATTATGTTTAAAAATGACCCAATGGATTGACTAGGGGTTTATTTTACTTTAAGTGGTTAGAGAAGGCTTCACTCTGATTTGCTTCCATCTTAATTTAAATGCCAAGGTGACAGCTAGGGTGTGAAGAAACAGAAAAGGACAGGATTGCAGTACAGAAGTTAGGGAAGTGAGCTCAGGCCTGATGATTTAGCATCTTTTACGACAAGACAGGGAGAATGGATTTTGTTCTAAAGGTACTGGAGAGCATCTGGAGCTTTTCAATCAGGAAAGTGTAAGACACAACATTCTTAGCATACAGGCATAAATCAAGCATCTGGGCTGCAAACTTATCAAGCGTTATCAGGCCTTCTTCATAGTGCCCTGTGAGAAAGAGGACTCAGGAACATAAAAAGATGTTTTTAGTCTGGCAGTGGCACTGTTATGAATAATATACTATTGTTTGTCTCTACTCCCACAGACCTGTATCTTCTGCCAACATCCATGAAACACTGCACAGCAGCCTAACCTGTTAACCTACCAGTAGGTAAAGCCTCGACTCTTCACTGTTATTATCAATAAGTCATGAAATACTAGCTGCAATGCTTGACGCTTTCAAATGCAATCTTTTTGAAACTCAAACTGTGTTCTGCATTGTTCATCCTGACACTAAAGGGTTAAAGTACCACGTTCACTGTCATGAACACGGTAACAGGTGTCGAGCTGCAAGATCTGAAAGCTATCTCTAGTCAGCATGCTTTCACCATGTTGTCTGGTGTTGTGGCTATGTTAACAGCCAGCTATGACATAATGGCTGCTATAAAAATCAGTGTAAGCCAGGAAGGTACGAGAAAGTATCACAAGGCGGAAAATAAACATGAGCTCAAACACGAACATGTAAATATGGTGGTATGTGTATCAACATAGGTGTAAGGAAAACAGGTTGGAAAGAGGGGAATTTGATGAGCAAAAAATTAATATTCAGGAATCAAAATTTATGTCTTGCTCAAGAGAAATGAATGAAAAGAAATAATATATCACATAGCTTATTTATGAGTCATTAATCGTCTGGGGTAAATTTTTCACATGAATGACAGTGTAAACATTTAATAGATCATTTATTACCAGATATAATTGCCACACCCTTTTAGAATTCACTGGGTAATGAAAAGTCAAAATTACTTTCCAGTACCTATAAAAATAGTGTTTATGTTTTAGAAATAAGGTCTGAAGTAGCTCTTAAAGCTATTTTGTTTTAGGGAAAATGTACTATTGATTTTCATTTAAAAGACTACCTCATTTAAAACTTATTCTGACCTTATAACTATTATGAGAGACATTTATCTGGAAAAATGCTAATAGCATAGACAGAGGTACCAGGTCTGTAACTAGTATCACAGTTCAAACTGTAATACTTTGAGATTTTCTTTGATGTCAAATGTTAAGAAGTAAAAATAATCTAAACTGCAAAGCTGAACAGAAGACAATACTATTTTAAATAGATTTGTTTCTTATTTCAGTACTAAATTCAAAGTCAGGAAGAAGTTAAGAGTGAGCTAGATAGAAAGAGTATAAGACATTGGCTATAAGACATTGAGCTTCATAAATAAACTATCTTATACTTGGTTTTTTTATTTGGACAACTGGCAGATAAACTGCTAGCCCTTACTACCTTTAATTCCGTATTGTCAAGTCAGTCTCTCTGGATTCTTTCCAGATACAGCCTAGCGTGCGCCCTCTGAAAGATCTGCCTTTTTACCCGTGTACATCACGGACACACACAGCTTCACAACTCCACCACATTTCAACTGCTCATTCAAAGGACACAATCATTACTTGGTTTTTAAGTCAGTTTAGAAATTGATGGCCACTCCTCAGGTGAATGAGAATAGAAAGCTTTTCAGCTCAATACAAAAAGAATGAGTTTTAAAAATACATAAACATCTCAGTTCTGAATCACAATGTAAAATATTTAATAATGTAGATTATAGTCAAGAGAGTTTTTAAAAATGTATAGGGTCAAAGGTTTAGCTCAGTGGCATAAGCACCTGCCTGGCAAGCACGAGGTCTTAAGTTCGATCCCCAGTACAAAAAAACACAAACAAAACAAAACAAAACAAAACAAAATACCAGTTTGAAAGTCATCACTTCCTAAGATAGGAGTGGAGCTGATAAATAACGAGAGGTACTTTTCAAATCTTATGAGATGGTAGTAGATAGTTGCACCAATGTGTCCTCCTACATCAGCATATAAGCACGTCCTGCATACTCACCAAAACTGTCATTAATTTCTTTTCATTCTGTCTGTGTATATGGCACTTCACCATGTTTTAAACTTTTATTTATATGCTACTCTTCAGTTCAAACATTTTCCCACGTTTGTAAAACATGTATTTGCAATTCATAGATTTTACCTGCTTTTCCATTAAGTTGTCTCTCTCTTAATGTGGTTCAGTTCTCTCAACATTCTGGATACCAACGAATGTTCTAATATTAAGCTCCACTTTCATTTCTTAGGATAAACTCAAATTGGACAGGAAAAACTGACCTTTTTGAACATTTGAAGATAGTATACTTTTTTACGTTTCATACTTACGGAATATCCTTAAAATTCAGTAAAACTCAACTGCGAGACTTTGTGGGCAGAGCATTTAATTTTTAGAAGATTCAAAAGAAGTCAAGAAATCAGAAATCAGTTATAGAAGCTTTTATTTCTTTTAAAGTAACTTTAGAAAGCTATTTTTTCTATGAAATTATCCAGTTTATTACAATTTCTGAATTGTCAGCTACAGATTTTTATAGTATGCTCTGTTTCCTGTTGTTTCTTTTTACATTTTTATTATATCTTTTCCCTTCTTAATCTTTTCAGAAAGTTTCTAACTGATTTGTTTCTTCAAAGTATCATTTTGGCTTTTACATTTCTATCTCTTTTTCCTTCATTCATTCTTTAATTTTTTTACTCAAACCAAATAGTCTCTTTTAAAAAAAACCTTCTGAAGTCAGGTACCTACTTTGTTAATTTGAGTGTTTCTCTGGGAGGGGCAATGGAAACACTCTGGGCACTTTGGGCCACTTTTACTGCATGCCACAAAGTCTGACAAGGAGTATTTCCAGTATTGTGGAGTCCTTATTTTTTTTATAATTTCATTCTCAATATGGGTTATTATGTGTGTTTTATATTTTTCAAAATACGGCTTTAAATATTTCATTCTGTTTATTTCTAGCTTACGTTTTTGTGGTTGATGAATGAATCTGACATGTAGAAATGTATCAAAATGTCTTTCATGGCCTCATGTACATAATCAATTTGATAACAGTTCCACTTAAGCCAGATAAAAGTGTGCACTTTTAAAATTAAGAGTTTAGTTTCAAAATAAGTGTGTTAATTAAATTAAAGCTTCCCACATCTTTAATAGTTTCTGCTATACTTATAAATGAATTAAGAGAACATCCCAAACATAATGCTAAATCTGCAGACTTAACCCTATTATAGTTCAGTCTCTTTTACAATGACATCTGGGGGCTGTATTAGTGTACACATGGGTGTACTGAATGTTTCTCTTTCAGGGGGATTACTTCCCAGGAAGTAATCTCGGGCTGTAAGACTACCTTCCTCTTATTAACACAGCTCCTTCTTTCTTTTGATTAGTATTTCCATTCTATTGCATTAATTATCCTATTATTTCAAAACTTCCAATATTTCTATAATATTTCTTCCAATATTTGTATTGCTACAAGCAGGTTTCTTTTAAACACCACAAGACATCCTAGCACTTGGGAGCTGAGACCAGAGGACTGCTGTGAGTTGGGGTACATCATGAGTTCAAGTTCAGCAACGTTCTAATTTATTGCAAATGTATATGCGTGTATTAGGCAAAAGCGGGGAGACAATTTTATACTTCCTGTGAAAATATAAATGATTTCTATTCACAGATTCTAGAATACAATGGTGCCCTAAGTTGACTGGGAGTACAGTGCATGCATCCAATGGTAAGA